TTTTTGTCTTCAATGTTGGTAACATGATGGGTAATTGTATGTTGAGTGTTAACCAGAAATTGTGCAAGTATGTTACTAACAGAAACTGGATCACGAGAGACCCTGGAGGAGGAAGGCAGACCGAGGAAGTACGTGGTTGGTGGTGGTTTACACTTTACAGCAAGGTGGACTGGGAGACTGTGGGATGAACCGAGGCGAAGGAACTAACAGGGTGATGACAGCTACCAAGATGGCGGTCCAGGTTGATGGTTTCCAGTTCTGGTATTACACATCACATTGCACCACGGGGAAAATGAGAGCACCATCTATTAGTTTCATTTAGTTGGTCGACCATAAGAGGGGGTGTTTGGGTTATTTATTGTTTGTGTTTAGTGTTTGTTTTGTTTATCAAGAGGGGGTGAATTGTATATCTGAGTTTTATTTGATAATCAAACAAACAGGACATTTTTAACATTTTCACTGAACTACTAGTGGTCAAGTGCACATAACACATTTAATATTTCATTTTAACACATTCAACTGTAGTGTCTTTGATAAAGTTTGTCTAATTGCACACTCTCTCCTACGCAGTATGGATTATAGACATCTTGGAAGGGATGTATGGGATGGGAAGCACCCTAAAATCTTAACTTGCGATAATATTATCTTTCATTTTATTTGGCTCAATATTCTTAGCTCCTTTTGATTGGGATGGACATAAAATAGATGCAAATAGGAATCAAACGTTAACTGTAAATGGGAAACATCAGGTTACACTTATAGGACCACGTAGGCATGTACATCCTGTCAACGATGTAATATTCCTGGAGGATGGACAAGAGACAACCTTTGGTATAGAAGTATGCTTTACTGGGTATAAAATAGATTGGGGAACGTGCATACCTAGACAATCATACATAGAATGTGACACAAAAGGTAGGACAATTAAGGAACTAACGCAAAGAGGTGTTTTCGTCTGTAAAAGTGAATGCCTGTATAACGACAATATAGTAGCTCACTCAGAGAGAGAGTAGCTCAACACCGGTTAATATAGACTGTTTAGATTTACACTACTTATACACTATGGTTACAGTACGGGAAAGAACTCCACCATTTCAGGTAGTAAAAGGACCTTACTCATGCATATCTAGGAAGGTTGACGGAGGGATGTCAGTAGGAGTCCTAAGTCACTGTTCAGATATGACTGATGTAACAACCACTGCCACTTGGGGTAATTTAACAGGGGTAATACCAGGTGACACCATGGATAAACTCACTCAAGGAAGAGCAGACGTTTGGTGGCTCTGTGGAGGTGAACACTTATGGCCAACATTACCAACTGATTGGACGGGTACGTGCGCTCTAACACAATTAGCTATGCTACTTACAGTGATCTCAGAATCTGAGGCTAGACACCAAAAAACTTTAAATAGACACAGACGGGGCATTGGTGGTTCCTTCGATGATAAAATCTATTTAGATGCAATTGGGGTGCCAAGAGGTATTCCAGATAAATTTAAAGCTAGAAATCAAATAGGCGCTGGTTTTGAGTCTTCACTGTTCTGGTGGGTGACAATTAATAAGAATGTAGACTGGATTAACTATGTGTTTTATAATCAACAGAGATTCATTAACTACACTAGAGATGCAATAAAGGGACTAGCAGAGCAAACAGCAGCTACTAGTGTAATGGCCTGGCAAAATAGATTGGCATTAGATATGCTCCTAGCAGAGAAGGGTGGGGTATGTGTGATGTTCGGAGACACTTGTTGTACTTTTATACCCAACAATACAGCTCCTGATGGCTCGGTGACCAAGGCATTGCAAGGACTGTCAGCTCTGGCTGAGGAGATGAAGGACAATTCGGGCGTTGACACTTCAGCGTTTGGGTGGATGGACTCCGTGTTTGGGAAGTGGAAATTGATGATTTCCTCAGTTCTGATCTCTCTGATTACGGCAACATCACTGTTGGCGGTGTGTGGATGCTGTTGCATTCCATGCATACGAGGCCTTTCCATTAAGCTGATTGAGACGGGAATGACCAGAGTAATGGTTGCCAAAGCTGTGCCTTGGGAGGAGGGGGGTTCACTGTTGGATGATCTCGCTGACATGGAAGAGAGTAATTTCTAAAGGATTTCGGTGAGCGACGAATTGGATTTTACACCTTTGGAATAATTTTGATCTCTCCCCGTTGGAGTATGCTAATTTATGCCTTGCACACACTGTTTTTACATTCTACCTCTGATACTCTGACTTTCATACTATCTTCATGCTCTATCTTTTATACACTACAAGTCTCATCCTATTTTTTGGACAACTATTTCTAAAGGATTACGGATTACGTATTGTTTGATCACTGGGACACTCAGGGATACTTTATTCAGGAAGAAGACAAAGAAGAATGTTGTTGATGTATTGTGGACATTTGTTGAACTGACAATCTACTTGAATATTTCTGTTGTTCATATCTGTACTGATTCTGGATATTGTTTTCCATCATGCAAGATTTTTGTCCTTATGAAAGAAGGTTTTTTTCCTGCATGTGTGGTTTTTAATGATGATATTTCTATTTCCTTACTGTATTGTTTAGTATAGTCATGTCTTTGATCTTTTACTCTAATCAAGTCAAGTATGGTTGGAGATGTTTGGTCAAAGGACATGGGTCAGGTGAGTGTGAACCCATGCCGTTAAGGGTAGATGTGTCTGGGAATTGATCTGGTTCTCTAATACATCTGCTGAGGTATGATTTCTCATTCATGTGATCTAGACAGGTTTACAACACAGTATTATTTGATGTGCATTAATGCGTTGAGATGTGAAGTTCAGAAAACTTCAAGAGGGGGATATGTGGTGGATTTTCAGTTCATATACATGTTTAGAAAAGTAGTTTGCTTACATAATTCGATTGTTACAGTATTTGTTTACATTTGGATATATATCTGTTAAACTTCATATAATTTTAGTATAATTAGTTATAAACACACATGGTATTTTGGTGAACTTAGGAGAAGGAACAGACATTCAGTGACACCCCTCCCCCATACATTCCAATGGGCCTTGGGGAAGCAAAAGGTTCAACAGAGGTGTGATATTGGATCCTGCCTGGGTGGGGTTAACTGATATGAATGACTAGGAACATATCGATTGGTCATTGGGGGTGAACTGGGGGATGTGTCGATGTTTCTGACTGGTCTAAAGTTGGGGTATTAAAGCGGTTGAGGCCATGGAACTGGCCCCTTTCCTGCTTCGATCAGCGCTGGTCACATGCGAGAGGGCATATTGCTGTGGGGTTGTGAAGCAATATTAATGTAAATAAACCATCTGAAAAGGTCATCTGTTCGACTCGTGTATTTCACTCATTTTCTCTACCATATTTTCTGTTAAAAGCGAGAGAGCGAGAGAGCTAGAGAGCAAAAAGCGACCGCACTGTCTGGTTGAACCTTGATGTTTTTTACCACAGGAAGGCATCGTCCGAGGCCGTTGTGTACCGCATTTTAACAGAAAAGATACTTGGTAGCAAAACTTTTAATATTTGAAAAGGCAAAGCAAGTTGTCTGGCGTTTAATTAAAAAAATAGTACTGTTTCTGCCGGTCTCGAACCGGGGATCTTTCGCGTGTGAGGCGAACGTGATAACCGCTACACTAGAGAAACTGCCTCTTCGGCCAAAAGCCTGTAGATTGGCAGCCCAACAAATGTCCATTTACTAAAACTGCACATCTACTGCAAATTCTATTTAGTCACCTGGAACTGAAATGGCAAAAAGGCCTCCTTAGCGCAGTAGCTACTTGGTCTGTCTCATAATCTGAAGGTCGTGAGTTCGTTCCTCTCAGTGGGCATGTTTTTAAAAGCTCATTTTTTAAAAAGTGTCTCTGCCCCGAAAAGCCTTAGTTTTAATTGATGGTAAACGCAACCGAGGACTTCTCGATATGACGTTGAACCTTGATGTTTTTTACCACAGGAAGGCATCTACCGAGGCCGTTGTGTACTACATATTAACAGAAAAAATACTTAAAAGCTCATTTTTTAAAAAGTGTCTCTGCCCCGAAAAGCCTTAGTTTTAATTGTTGGTAAACGCAACCGAGGACTTCTCGATATGAGGTTGAACCTTGATGTTTTTTACCACAGGAAGGCATCGTCCGAGGCCGTTGTGTACCGCATTTTAACAGAATAGATACTTGGTATCTTTTCTGTTAAAAGCGAGAGAGCGAGAGAGCAAAAAGCGACCGCACTGTCTGGTTGAACCTTGATGTTTTTTACCACAGGAAGGCATCGTCCAAGGCCATTGTGTACCGCATTTTAACAGAAAAGATACTTGGTAGCAAAACTTTTAATATTTGAAAAGGCAAAGCAAGTTGTCTGGCGTTTAATTAAAAAAATAGTACTGTTTCTGCCGGTCTCGAAATGGGGACTATTCGTGTGTGAGTCGAAAATGATAATCGCTACACTAAAGAAACTGCCTGTTCGGCCAAAAGCCTGTAGATTGGCAGCCCAACAAATGTCTGTTTACTAAAACTGCACATCCACTGCAAATTCTATTTAGTCACCTGGAACAGAATTGGCAAAGAGGCCTCCTTAGCGCAGTAGCTACTGGGTCTGTCTCATAATCTGAAGGTTGTGAGTTCTTTCCACACAGTGGGCATGTTTTTAAAAGCTCATTTTTTTAAAAGTGTCTCTGCCCCGAAAAGCCTTAGTTTTAATTGATGGTAAACGCAACCGAGGACTTCTCGATATGAGGTTGAACCTTGATGTTTTTTACCACAGGAAGGCGTCGTCCGAGGCCGTTAAGTACCGCATTTTAACAGAAAAGATACTTGGTATATTTTCTGTTAAAAGCGAGAGAGAGCGAGAGAGCAAAAAGCGACCGCACTGTCTGGTTGAACCTTGATGTTTTTTACCAAAGGAAGGCATCGTCTGAGGCCGTTGTGTACCGCATTTTAACAGAAAAGATAATTGGCAGCAAATATTTTGATATTTGAAAAGGCAAAGCAAGTTGTCTGGCGTTTAATTTTAAAATTAGTACTGTTTCTGCACGGTCTCGAAACGTGGACCTTTTCGCGTGTGAGGCGAACGTGATAACCGCTACACTACAGAAACTGCCTCAACAGTCAAAAGCCTGCAGATTGGCAGCCCAACAAATGTCTGTTTACTAAAACTGCACATCCACTGCAAATTTTATTTAGTCACCTGGAACTGAATAGGCAAACAGGCCTCCTTAGCGCAGTAGCTAGTGGGTCAGTCTCATAATCTGAAGGTCGTGAGTCTGTCCTCACAGTGGGGATGTTTTTAAAAGCTCATTTTTAAAAAGTTTCTCTGCCCGGAAAAGCCTTAGTTTTAATTGACGGTAAACGCAACCGAGGACTTCTCGATATAAGGTTGAACCTTGATGTTTTTTACCACAGGAAGGCATCGTCCGAGGCCGTTGTGTACCGCATTTTAACAGAAAAGTTACTTTGTAGCAAAACTTTTAATATTTGAAAAGGCAAAGCAAGTTGTCTGGCGTTTCATTTAATAATTAGTACTGTTTCTGCCCGGTCTCGAACCGGGGACCTTTCGCGGGTGATTCGAACGTGATAACCACTACACTACAGAAACTGCCTCTTTGGTCTTAAGCCTGCAGATTGGCAGCCCAACAAATGTCTGTTTACTAAAACTGCACATCTACTGCAAATTCTATTTAGTCACCTGGAACAAAACTGGCAAAGAGGCCTCCTTGGCGCTGTAGGTAGCGCGTCAGTCTCATAATCTGAAGGTCGTGAGTTCGATCCTCACAGGGGGCCTGTTTGTAAAAGATCATTTTTCAAAAGTGTCTCTGCCGCGAAAAGCCTTAGTTTTAATTGATGGTAAACGCAACCGAGGACTTCTCGATATGAGGTTGAACCTTGATGTTTTTTACCACAGGAAGGCGTCGTCCGAGGCCGTTAAGTACCGCATTTTAACAGAAAAGATACTTGGTATATTTTCTGTTAAAAGCGAGAGAGCGAGAGAGCAAAAAGCGACCGCACTGTCTGGTTGAACCTTGATGTTTTTTACCAAAGGAAGGCATCGTCCGAGGCCGTTGTGTACCGCATTTTAACAGAAAAGATAATTGGCAGCAAATTTTTTAATATTTGAAAAGGCAAAGCAAGTTGTCTGGCGTTTAATTTTAAAATTAGTACTGTTTCTGCACGGTCTCGAAACGTGGACCTTTCGCGTGTGAGGCGAACGTGATAACCGCTATACTACAGAAACTGCCTCAACAGTCAAAAGCCTGCAGATTGGCAGCCCAACAAATGTCTGTTTACTAAAACTGCACATCCACTGCAAATTTTATTTAATCACCTGGAACTGAATAGGCAAACAGGCCTCCTTAGCGCAGTAGCTAGTGGGTCAGTCTCATAATCTGAAGGTCGTGAGTCTGTCCTCACAGTGGGGATGTTTTTAAAAGCTCATTTTTAAAAAGTTTCTCTGCCCGGAAAAGCCTTAGTTTTAATTGACGGTAAACGCAACCGAGGACTTCTCGATATAAGGTTGAACCTTGATGTTTTTTACCACAGGAAGGCATCGTCCGAGGCCGTTGTGTTCTGCATATTAACAGAAAAAATACTTAAAAGCTCATTTTTTAAAAAGTGTCTCTGCCCCGAAAAGCCTTAGTTTTAATTGATGGTAAACGCAACCGAGGACTACTCGCGTACACACCCCGGGTCGAGCGGGTCAGAGTGACCCGTGATCTCTTTTCACTGCCCTCAGAGTTTTGCAAAAAGGAGGATGCCGAATTACAACAACGTGCACGTGTTTCACCGTTATCGGTTTATTATTATTATCGCTACTAGTAATTATCTGGGAGTGTGAAAAAAACCACCGCCCAGGGTGAGGCTCGAACTCACCATCTCGGCATCTAACCCCGCCGTTGTCCTCGCGTTGCGTACAGACACCCGAGTCGAGCGGGTCAGAGTGAGCCTTGATCGCTTTTCACAGCCCTCAGAGTATTGCAAAAAGGAGGAGGCCGAAATACAACAACGTGCGCGTGTTTCACTGTTATCGGTTTATTATTATCATCGCTGTTAATAATTATCTGGGAGGGCAAAAAAAAACACCGCCCCGGGCGAGGCTCGAACCCGCCACCTCGGCATCTAACCCAGCCGTTGTCCTCGCATCGCGTACACACACCCGAGTCGAGCGGGTCAGAGTGAGCCTTGATCGCTTTTCACAGCCCTCAGAGTATTGCCAGAAAAAAGGAGCCCGAAATACAAAGTCTTTATTAGTATTTATTGGCAAGGGCGAAAAGAAACACAGCGGGGGATGCCCTCGTCCGGGGCCTCTTCATCCTTCGTTTCTGAGACCCGAGGACAGCGGGCAGGGCAAGAGAGCTTGTGTTTCCCAGGACCCGAGGACAGCGGGTAGGAGAATGTGTTTATGAGACCCGCGGACAGGGGGAAAGGCCAAGGACAGCATGTTTCTGAGACCCAAGGACAGAGGGGAGGGCAAGAGAGTGTCTGGGAACAACAAACATGCCGCGAGTCTCCAGCCCTGTCCGCAACCATCAGGGTCCCAGTGACCTAGGGTTACCTAGGTTGACCCGAGGACGGCGGGAGTGAGGGGGAATCCTACGCTCAGGTCGCCGGGACCCGAGGGTAGTGTGAGGGATAACGGTGGCACGGCAACGATGTCATCCTCTGGTGACAGAAATGTGTAGTGTGTGCATGAAAAATAAATTCAAAATATTGGGACAATGGACCATTCTGCTTCCCAGGGTTGTGTGCTGTGGACCGTAATTAGACGTTGAAGGTTTACGTCTATTCGACGTCTAAGATCGACCTGTTTTCAACATTGAAAAGTAGGACAAGATCGACCTGTTTTCAACGTTTTTAAAGTAGGACAAATCTGACGTCTTTTCAATTGTACATGCACCCCATGGAATGAGAAAATAAACTGACCCCGATCAGAAAGAAAGAAGAGGCCGAGGTGGACATAGCGATAAACACTGTTTCAAGATCTATAGCAAGCTTAGAGGCCAACATAGCTCTACTCAAGCGGAGAGGGCAGAGAGAGTGTGTTTCCTAGCAAGCTTAGACGTCAACCTAGCTCTACACAAGCGGAGAGGGCAGAGAGAGTGTGTTTCTAAGACCCGAGGACAGCGGCGAGGGCAAATGAGCTTGTGTTTCTGAGACCTGAGTGCAGCGGGCAGGGCAAGAGACCTTGTGTTTCCCGGGACCCGAGGACAGCGGGGAATCTGACTTAGACCGGTTGGATATTTTGGGTAGCCAAGCACACTCTAGGCTCCCCCCGCCTAATCCGTATCATTTTCTCTGTGACCGGGCTGGGGTGAACATCTCCTGAATCCGTGTACAGTACCTCGGGGGTTTCGCCACTTTGGCTTAGCCTGGCTGGACACTTTGGGTAGCCTGCCTACTCTAGGCTCCCCAGCCTGCCTTTATTTCACGTACACGTTGCACAACAACATCACCAAACATCATGAATGTGAGAGTACAAAAACATCACCAAGCTTTATTTCACTTACACGTTGCACAAACCAGAGCTGTAGTACTCGAGACCGGTCTCGGTCTCGAGACCGGTCTCGAGACCACTTTTTTAAGGTCTCGGTCTCGTCTCGGTCTCGGTTACATTTGGACTCGGTCTCGACTCGGTCTCGGACAGTAAGGACTCGTAAATTCTTCCGAGACCAGCCGAGACCAGCGTAGAAATTATCGCCCACAATTTTTTCTAGCAAAATATCTAAGTATGACTTGTAGAGGCTGTATTTCCATTGGCTGTATTTCGTCCAGAGTCAGACTGTTTTTTTCTGATGTGGCTTATCCCGCCAATGGCTATCTACTTTTGAAGAAAAGCCCACCCCCAGCGTCGCTAGAGCGTGCACCCATTCACGTAAATACTTCAATCTTAAACATATGCTCGATCATGTCTGCACAATCTGCCATTATATTCGTTTTGCCTATATTCAGTACAGTGAGCACAAATAAATAATTTGTCCGAAAACACACAGCGGTTAGTAATTAAAATACATATATCATGTTGAAAAGCTACAGCCGACGTCCTTCCATGACATTTCCTAAATACGTGCATTTTACCTTGTCCCGTTTTCAGAATTGCAAAATCACAAACCGAACAATATATAAAACTACTATTTACATGTTTTTGATACCTAAACTGCCTTCCTGTTGCCAAAATCCAACGCCGCTGGGCGTTGGTACCCTAATTGCGGTACCCAGACACCGATCACACTTCACTGAGCCTATGATGGCAATAGTTGAATGGGCGATACACAGACAAATACTACGAGAACACATATAGACAATAGTCTGATTGGCTTGGTTGAACTATACAAAAAGAGGTACGTTCATAAAGAAATATGTTTCACTAAATACACAGAACGAATTCCGCCAAATACATACAGCCCCATTCATGTGTCATGCGCCTATTGCACTCAATAATTAATAACGAATGAACCACAGTGTATTCATATAGCCTACAAGAGACTTCAACAAAATATTGTTTTGTATCGAAATTAAACGAATATAAACAATAATTATTAATAGGCATACTACAAATGGGCGATAAATGAAATTACTCATGCACACAGAAGGACGTGGGACATACATAAGTCCGGGGGGCATACGGCAGAAAGAGCATAAAACTGGAACGGTTATGGTCCGATCTTTATTAAACTGGACAGGTTTTGGTCTGATCTATTTGAACACGGTGCGCAGTTCAACCGGGTTAGTTTGCTGCTGTCTCATGTGCACTAGTAACAATAATGAACACTGTGCGCAATGCAACCGGTTCGTTTGCGTGTCCTGCTCAAGCAGACAAACAACTGAAGCTGCGTGCCTGTGGACGGATAAATAATTATAAATAGATTTGTTTATCGGCCAATCATGCGCAAATAATTTGATTGCAAGTCACTTGTGATCTAAAATGTGTTAGCATTTACTACATCAACATAGGACATACAGTTTGATGGATTTTCATTTATTCGATTTTTAGACATTTTTATATCATAGCCTGTGCATTTTAAAATCATGGTTTTATTTTCGTATTTTATGGTTACATAAGACAATAAATAGGCCTACATACTCTTTTAATAAAATGTAATTAAT